CTGAGGGGTTTTGTCATTAAAAGCCTAAAGCTGGTCATTAACAAACCTTCTTTGCAATCATCTACCGCTGTGCTAACTCAGGCATGGATCTGACTGGAAAGTTTGGGCTGGTTCAGAAACTTTCCGGAAGGCTGAATTTTTTTTTTTTTTCTATGTGGGCTATATTTCTTTAGGAAAAGAAAATACAATTTCCAATCATTTAGTCATTTATTTCTCATTATCCATTGACTAATTCTTCTCTGATAGACACAACCAAATTCAACAAACATACCTACTGTATGACAGGAATGATGCTCAGGGCTGAAGATATATTTATGAAAAAGACACAGCTCCAGCTCTGAGAGGGTTTACAGTCCCCCCGCCCCCAAAATTAACCATCATTTACAGAATCCTTTGTAATATGTCAGACTCTGTATTTAGACTTTATAAACATTATCTTATTTACTTTCACCACTCTTTAGAGGACAGATGTTCTTCTTATCCCAATTTTAAAGTCTAGATGGTTTAAGAATTTTCCCAAAATTATTGAGCTTGTAAGTGGCAGAACCAGGTTTCAAATCCATGTCCTGTCTGACTTCAAGCAAGTTCATGTGCTCCAAACGGCAGGGCTGGGCCAGTTAGGAGGCCAAGCTGTGGCATTCCCGGTTGCAGAAAGATTCTGAGCCAAGTGAAAGGCAGGCACATGTTGGGTAGGTACGAGGAACAGGTGGAACACAGGCTCAAACCCCGCTTCGGGAGAATCTGGGGACATAGGTGAAGTACTGCCCATTGGGAATAACCTCCCCTGGCTTCACATACCCCAGCAACATTCAGATCATTGAGGTGTCCACCTGCATGTGTACATGTGAACTTTAACTTGCTTGCTGGCTCTGTAGCAGCAAGGACCGATGTCAACTTTATGAATATAATAAAGATACACATGATGTGAGGAAAGCTTAAGTCTGAAGATCACTGCTTCCTAAACTTCTACAAAAATGCATGTGGCAGAGCAATTCCAGCTACCCCGTTGCTTGACAGTTGTTTCTGCTGCCCATGATTTGATTTTTCACCTACTCTGGCAACCTCTGTGATGGAAATAATGAATGAAGAGAGGTGATTGCTGCTTTCTCCCTCACAGGATTCAAGTGTAAATAGCCAGAGGACCAAAGTTACATCATTCATTCAGAAAGAATGAATCTCCAGAAAGAGAAATAGAGAAACACAGACATAAGGGAATAATATCCTGCTGTAACTTGACATGGGGATGAGGATAAAAAGAAGTCTTGGGATGATATTTTTAAAACAAGAAAAATGACTTGAGGTGATAAGTATATTGTTAAGAGTACACATTTTGTAATAAAAATTATTGTTACCATTGGTTGAGGGCCTACTGTGTGCCAGGCAATTGCTGTGGAGGGGGATTTGCACGACATCCCATTAAATGAAATCTGTACAACTGCCTACCAGGGAAAGCATTATCACATTTTAATAGATGAACAAACTAAGTTTGGGAGGTTGAACAATTTGCCAAATGCCCCTCATTGAACATTTTGTAGAGCCGGAATGCAAGTCTAGTTATACATTACTGCAAGATGTCTTCACTACGTTGCTTTATTTTTATCTATACCTACGTTAATTAAAACACAACCTATTTAAAGGCATTTAAATAAATAATGCAACAATTAAAAAGACATTAGCTGATTTCCTTTTTTTTTGCCTTGAGATGACTCCTATTATTTTTCTTTTCCCAAAAGGAAACAAAAACATTAGCTTACTTTTTACCGCTCAATTAATTGTTGAGGGATTTCACCTGAAGAGATCAGTAAGACCTCCAGGTGGACACCTTCGATCCAACTATAGTGTCATTATGTGCCTGTGCCTGAGATGTTGGAGGGAAGGCTTTGTCCATGGGAATCACAAAGCCCACATCTGACCCTCTGCGTTCTGGCAGGTTCTCACCTGCAGTGCTTCCCAGGAATGTCTTCCTTGGCCTGTTACTGTTTTTAATTGCTGGTGGAGTGCTTTTGACCTATAAAGTTCTCTCCCACCAGATCATTAGTGCTACCTGGGAGGAACTTCAGGAAACTGAGCAGTGAGTGCAGCCCCCCTCCTCCTCCAAGAGGCAGGGTACAGGAGTCCGAACTTTGTCAAAGTTCATAGGACCTGTCAGCTCCTGCATAGGCAGCATGAAGCACTTTCAAAGGGTCGCTGCAAGCCTAGAGCACCAAAGGTGAGGGAAAGGGTCAGTGCTGTAGGACAAGCACGCACTCTGAGTCAGAAAGGCCTGCACTCACAATCTTATCAAACACCGAAATAGCAGTAATAATGATAAACGCATTCCCCCTCGTTCCAGGAACTATTACTCAGTAACTTTGTGATCTTAAGCAAATGGCTTAGCCTCTCTGAAACTCAGCTTTCTCATCTGTAAAACAGGAGGAATGACCTCATGTGACTGTTTTGAAGATTCTTAATTAAGACTCTCTTTGTTCCAAATGATAGAAATCCAGTTAGAACCAAGTGAAGCAGAAAGAGCACTCAAATATAAGTAAAAATAATGTCTCTCAAGAACATGCATGCAGCTGGGTCTAAGGAAAAACTGGAATTAGAGGCTTAGGTGCCATCTGGATGCTCTCCCCATTTCTAACCACCACGCCCCTTGATGCACCTGTACCTTCCCTTCTCACTACTTGTAAGCTGACATGGCAGGACAAAGGCATCAATGGCCCCCAAGTCACATACCCCTGCCAACCCAGGCTAAGAGACCAACAAACTGACTGGTCCAAGGTCTGAATCCAAGAGAACTGGAATTGGCCCAGTTCCTGTCCTATAAGCTACATCTAAACCAATCAATTATCTGTTGACAAGGAGCAGTCTTTTATTCCATTAATATGGCTGTCCCTGTGGTAAGCCTGAGGATGAGGAGAGGTATGTATTCTGTAGAAGACAATGAGTTACTAGAAAAGAGAGTTTCACCACAGGTGAAATAATTGGTGTCCACTGCAACAATATATGAATATTAGCTATCACCATTCCCAGTCTAGGATAGATACATTTATGTATGGGTTTTTTTAATCAATATGTAGACTTCCGCATGTCTTGAAAGACTACATTTTTTAAAAAAAGCAAAACAAATATAGAATTATGTGTTAATTATAATGAATATAGACTGTCTAATGTTAAAAATCAGAAGAGAACACAGAAGCTGTGAACAACTGTTTTAAGTACATAATACTTTATGGATTTAAAGACAATTGAAAATCAACAAGTTAAAGAACAGAATTTTGTTCCCTAACCCTATTCTCTTCTCCTGTCCCTCAGAAACCCATAGCTTCTCACATTTCCCACTCTTGCCTTCAATTACTTTTCTATCTTTAAGTTGTTTTATTTGGGGGTCCATTACTAAGTTTTTAGCATTAAATACCTAAGGGATTGTATAAAGTATTTGAAACTATTTCAAAGAACAATTAAATGCACTTATACGGTTAGCACTAAACAGAGAACCAGCTGGGGATAAAGAAAGCCAATTTCTGTTTTTCTCCCTTTCCCAAAAACACACAGAACAATTTTGGACCAGTTGTTTATGGTCCCTATGTCATCCATAAATCTTCCTGATGGTAACTAGCCTACTTGTCTCTTAAGGTGAAGCTCAGAACATCGGTGGATTAACTAGCATAGGCTCATTTACAGGGAGATGTGGAGAAGAATCAGATAACTTGAGATTTCCCTTTCTCATCAGAAAGTGAATTCTCACCCAAAGGAAGAATCTATTTTGTGCATAAGATAAAAAATAATTATTTTTCTTGGATCGAATTGTAGAAAGCCAATCGCCCTGTGCCAAAACACTCCAGGTCTTAGTGAGAGAGCAAGTCAACATATTTTAGGTTTCAGAAGAAAGCACTTTGTGTCACTTTCTAGAATTTCTTGTGGCTGATTCCAGTATGTTACTAATTAACTTAGAAAAGAAGAATTTCAGGACCTTTCAAATAGATGATGAGAGAGAAGTGTGCCTACTATGGTAAAAAAATAATAAATTCAAAGTCTCGTTTTGCCTTGGATTTTGTTGCTATGATACGATTCCTCTAAAGGGAAGAGAAATTAAATTTATATAGCAACAGTGTTCCAAGTGGTAGCTAAATGGGGGAAATTAACTGATGTAGAAATGTGTGTTAAAGACACACATTTAAAGATTATTCCTTCACATTTGTTTTCAAATATGAAAATAATTCCATGGGAGGAAAAGAGTTACCATAATGATAATATTGTCTTGAAATAAAATTCATAGATTCTGTATGACAAAAAGAAAAAGTTTCTAACTGGGCTGCTTGGCCATAGCTTACACGAAACATACATTGATCAAAAACTCACAGCACTTTAAAGTTTATTACACAAATGCTTAATTTTTGTCCTTTAAAAATTCTACCCTGAACAAGCCCAATCCCATCTGATCTCAAAAGCTAAGCAGGGTTGGGCCTGGTTAGTACTTGGATGGGAGACCACCTAGGAAAACCAGGTGCTGAAGGCGTAAAAATTTAAAAAATAAGAGATTGAAAACTGACAAGATTCTTGCAATCTCTGAGGTCAACCAAGGGTTGCCTCGCCTAAAAAATAAAAAAATTAAATAAAATATAAATAAATAAATAAAAATTCTACCAATTCATTTTGTGGTGGTTAGGATATTGAAATATGCAAATAAGCATGCTATAGTTGGCGATAACTAATGTAGTTTGTATATAACTAATGTTCTCTCCCAACAGCCCCCACTCCTCCTACTCACATCACCTTCACCCAGGAGTCACGAGATGCTGAAGACAGTCACTTTTTTACTTGATTAAATTTCAGGAGGTTGAAGCTAGGCCAAAATCCTCACCTTCCTTTTTCCTAAATGCGTTTTCTCCTCTCTCTTAATTACATGGCTTTACACTGATTTACATGAATTTCAGCTTTCCAAATCATTGGTGTTCGCTGAATGCAAATAGGCACATAAGTTTGCACAATTGATCTTTCATCATTTCAAATGGTACCTTTGAACAGTTCCTGAAATGTCTGTCTGAAATACTCCCAGCGCTGAGTGTCATCAAGAGATGGGGGGTCACCCTGGGGAAACCCATTCTCAGTGATGTAAATTACAGGGTTATTATACATATCCTGGAACAAAAGAGCAGAAGTTTTATTCTAAACAGATGTTAAAAAAAAGAGAGAGAGAGAGAGAGAGGCTCATAAAATCGGGTGCATTACCCTCTATCTTCTCTAAGCTACAACCCCAAAACTAGTTTTCATCAAATTACACTGACCCTATTAACTTAATTTTCCATGCAGTGACATTTTGTGATGAACAATGGAAAAGCAAAACTGTGTAAATGTCCATGAAGACAGTCAAGTGACTCTATTATAATGAGAAGACAGAAATATCTCTCTTCCATCAGCAACTGCTGATTGTCACTGCTCCTTAACCCTTTGGTTATGCCAGCAGCTACACTCTCCATCCCCCCACAGGAGGGCGAGGGGATCCTTGAAATTTTAATTTCAGATAGCTGGATGCCATCCAGAATAACAAAGACCCAAAAAAGGTCCAGCTACTTCTACCCTTAATATGCCTTTTAGTAATCGCCTTCATGATGCTAGCCTGAAAAATATGTCCAAGCTATTACTATGGCCACAGATGACTTTAACAGTGAATCTTAACTTTAACCATGGTTTTGAAGCCCTTTATCAACTAGTTACCCCTCACCAACTTATATTCTAAGCTTCTCTTCCCAACAAATGTATCTGCTACTGCCTAAAGTCATTCTTTTTTTTTTTTTTTTTCATGTTCTCACACACACATACATATGCCTGTCCTTCCATCTCCACATATTTGGGTGTGCACAAATAGAAACAGACAAATGTGCATGGACCTTAATGTATTTCAGTAGTTTACGTAGTCCCCATGGCACCACAGAGATCCAATTCAAACTTATCCAAGACGGGTCTGGAAAAATTTCAATCTCCATATCCTGCAGAATACTCAGTTCTCCTTTATCATTCTCTTGGTACTTGACTAAGCGACTTGTATAATATTGCACAGAAAAGAAATCAGCTGTGCCTTTGATCATTCTCTTCTCTTCTTCTGTAAATTCTGGAAGCCGTGATGATGAATAGCCTTGCTTTTGGCTCATGGAAGCAATCTGGGACTTGACGATTTCAAGATAGTCACCATCAATAAATATAGGTTTAGCAAAAAAATCCAAGTGAAAAGCCATGGCTCTTTTAGCAGCTTCCTGGTCAGACACTGAGTTGGGATCTGCTGGTTCCGCCCAGCCAGTAAAAAATGCTAAGGACACCAGGCCCTGCTGCTCTTTTCGGAATAAGGAATCATAGCTGTGCCAGGATCTGGCATGGGCCTTAATCTAATTGTGGGCGGCCTGATAGCCTCCCGTTCCCAGGTTAGGTACACCAGGAGGGAACACATCCAAATCATACGCCACCAGGGCTAACATGTTAGGCTCATTTATGGTGATCCACTGCTTTACTCGATCCCCAAACGTACCGAAGCAAAACCGGGCATATTCATCGAAGGATTCAATGATTGCCTCCGACAACCAACCTCCTTGGTCTTCTAAGGCCTGGGGCAAATCTATGTGGTACAGTGTCACTATGGGCGTAAGCTTATTTGTTAACAAATCATTGATGATCTTGTTGTAGTAGTCGATTCCTAGGAAAAAGAAAAAGAAGATATAAGAAGAAAAATTATTTGTAGTATGTTGGCAATAATTGTTAAAAGGGAGAGGCTCGGGAATAATTTCCTAAACAATTTTTATTCAAAATAAAGTTTATTACTTCTCACATATAATCAATTAAAGGCTAAGAAGAAACATAAAGACTCCAGGGGAGACTGGGTGATCAGGGTGTGGGAGTGTGATGGGGCGACATGATTTAAGAAGATGTACATGTTCTCAAGGGATACATCGGGGCAAGCTGCTATCACATAACTTCGCGTTGCTGTCACACATTGAAATTATTTATTTGTTATGCGTAATTTATCTCTTAACCACAACATAACACAAACTCCATGATAGCAGAAGCTCTGTCTCTCTAGTTTACCTCTGGATTTCCCAAATCCTTGAACAATACCAGAAATTTGGTAGACACTCAGTAAGTATTTGTTGAGTGAATGAATAAATCTCAACAGTATCAAGTACTGTTAATGTAAAAGACTGGAACCAGATGACCGCCTTGGTGCTTCTCCAGAGCCAAGAGTCTCAAAAGTCTAGGAAAAGAGACCCAGTGAGCACAAACGAGAGCTCAGCATCTGTCCCAGAGTCGGGGATACATGGGCAGCTGGAAATTAAGGAATACTAGCTTGGGGAGTCTGCTCTAAAATTCTTGGAAATACACACCACTCCTGGCTCTGGCTCTCAGCTCGTTCTCCCAGCACCACGTGGTGAGAGAAGTTTACAGGATGATGGCAGAGTTTGGAGGAATGTGAACTTGGAGAGGCTCTGCCTCCGAAACCTCCTCTGCCAAGGAGACGTTGAGTTCAACCTAATGAGGACTCTCAACCTGGAAGAGACTTTCTGAGGAGAGGCCGATAAATAGTACTTTATGTGATTTTATGTCTAAGAGGATGAAAACAGCCTAAGTTTAGAAGAGAGAAACTGTCCTCTCTTTTGAAAGGTTGTTTTCTGGATAATAATTATAATTTCACATGTAGAATTATGTTGCAGTCAGTGTTTGCCTAGGAATAGGGTCCCTTTTAAAAAAAAAAAAAAACTTAGTATCTTCCAATTAAAAAATAATAATAATAATTCAGACTTTTGTATATGTTTCATTTAGTCAATCATTCATGTATTCATTCCTTAAATTCACATTTATAAAGAAGCTACTATACAGCAGATTTGCAAACATAAGTAAAATAAACATTGTCCTTATCTTCAGGGACCTTATCTTCAGGGACCTTAAAAGGACTCCAGATAAATTCATAAACAATTACAATATGATATTACTAGTAAAGATAAAGTACAGAATGATATTTAAGCCTATGATGAGAAATACCTATCCCAAACAGTACATTTGGAAATTTATTCTGAAAGCAATGTAGTATAACAGTTTCAAAAGAGAACTATGGTACCAAACTACCTAAATTCTATCCCAACTTCTTCACTACAATCTCAAATACCTTGGGCAAGTTACTTTACTTTTCTGAATTATCCTTCCCCTTCTGCAAAATGTGGACAATAACAGAAACCTACCTTCATAATTGTATGGAAGTTTAATGAGTTGATAAATTAAACATACTTAGAACAGTTCTTGGCATAAAGTAAGGGCTTAGTATAGGTTGGCTATCATTCTAATAATAATTATTATTGTTATTGTTGTCATTAGTGACATCTAAGCTGACACTCAAAAGATGAATGTAAATTACCCACATAAGGCAAAGAGAAAAGAGTGATTCAGGAAGAGAAAAAGGGAAAGCAAATGTGCAAAAGACCAAAGAAGCTATGGGGGAAAAAAAAAAAAAAACACCCAAATGTAAACAGAGCTTGCTATAGCAAGGGAGTCAGTCATCATCACTTGCATTTGGCAGATACTCAAAGTCTATCAGGAAAGAGGGAAAGTTTTATAGTGAAAAAGAGGGTGGGGGGCGATTCCGGGATGTACTGATTAGTGGTTGTTGGCACACGGCAGAAATGGGACTTCCTATGCAATTGGTTTGGGAAACATAGATGGCTTTCTCTGGCTGGTTGGTCCTGAGTTGAAAGCAAAGGGCAGGGGAGCCAAAAAAAATAGAAAATCTGGCAGTTGTTGACCAAAGCTCTGACTATTCCGGGTGGTTGCTGCTGAGGTTGTAGTTTGACTTCCTGGCCTGCTTATAGGGACTGAAGTTTTACTGTCATATATGGCCTGGCCATTGTTTGTTTGATTATTTTAGTCTCCTACAAGAGTATGGATTTTTCTGGGAACGGAAAGTTCAGTATAAGGAGAACATATATCTCAGCAGAAGAGGAATAAGAATGGTGAGAGGTAAGCAGGGAAAGCAGAAGCTGAATTATGTAAAGTTGTGTGTTATTTGCCTATCTGTCTCTAAAAGTGGATATTTTTAACAACTGCTCTCTTATTTGGCAGACTGCAACATAATGGAAATCAGGTATAACAACTTCATACATGGAAGACCCACTTGCTGGCCTTCATGCACTCAATAGGCAGAATATGCACCCCCCTCCAAGATATGCATGCCCTAATTCATGGAATATGTACTATGTTACTTTTCATAGCAAAAGGAACATTCTAGATGTGGTTAAGGATCTTGAGATGGGAAGATTTCTCTAGATTTTTCAGTTGGCCCCAGTCTAACCACACGAGTCCTTGGAAGTGAAAGAGGATGGCAGAAGAGTGGGTCAGAAAGATGTCATAGCAGAAGGAGAGACAGGAAAGATGGCAGCGTGAGAGGGACTTGACCCATTATTGCTGATTTTGAAGGTGGAGGAAGGGAGCCAGGAGCCAAGAGACGAGGGGCCTCTAGAAGCTGAAAATGGTCCTTGGCTGACAACCGCCAAGGAATGAAGACTTCGTTCATACAGCCACAAGAAGCTAAATTCTGCCAACAACCTGAATGAGCCAAGAAGCAGACTGTCTCCTAGGACCTTCAGAAAGAAAAGCAGCCCTGTAGCCACCTTGGTGTTAGCCTGGCTAGGCCTGTGTCAGACCTGTGACCTACCTAACTCTGAGGTCACACATTTGTGCTGTTTTAAGCAAGTAAGCTTGTAATAATTTGTTATAGCGTCAACAAAAAACTAATACACTCAGTAAAATGTATAAAGCTTTTCTATTCTCTCTCAGTGAGAGCACTCCACCGTCCTACCTCTGGGCCTCTATAAACCTACATGTCCTCATTTGCAAAATGGGATATCCGAAGATGATAAAATGGAATCATTTTTGTACTGTTATGTGTTAAGGTTCCTATAGCCAATTCCTTCCGTCGGCTTGGAATATAAAAATAATAGCAACTTTATTTCATTCATACTTAAGTCCAAGAGGTGGATATGTTTACACTTGATAAATATATGAGAAAACTGAGATTCAGAGAAAGTGAGTCCCAGACATACAGTGCCAGTGCTGTCATAAGGCACAGCCTTATGTAAACACAATTCGTCTCCCTGCAAAGACTGAACCATTCCCATCATGGCATTCCACTTCTCCCACTTACTAATGTGGTTTCAGAACCAGAAATACAGTGACTGTTTTACTAGCCTTAACAATCACCTACTTTGGAGCTGACTTATAACATCGGATTTTTTTTTTTTTCCTATTTTGGAGGAATCAATGATTTATCTCTTGGAAGCATCATTAGATATGGCACAATCATTAATGATGGCAATCAATGTAATTCAAACAACATGATAATCCTCAGTTAAATTGAAGATTTAAAAAAATTTAAGTAAATTTTTTTTCTCACTCATCAGCACGGCAGAACAACAAAGCATTGCATAATTAATATTTAACATCCCAGAATGGAGCATTTTATTTCAGTTTATTTGGTGTTAGAATGAAACTTTCCCATGAGGCAGTAGAGTGAAGTTTTTAAGAGCTGAGCTCCAGAGTCAAACAATTCAGTCAAAGGATCATGGCCCCTCTATGCCCAAGTTTCTTCATCTGCTAGAAAGGAATATTAATAATGCCACCTCGTAAGTATTGTAAGTATCAAATGAAAACAAACCAAAGGGTTCTCTGGTTTTATCATATTATTACAACTCAAGGTAACTAATTCTCTACATAAATGTGTGTTTTTAAATGATCATCTGTTACCAATCTAGGGATCTCGAAACTTTGGATGTCATTTGGACTCTATTCTGCATCTGGGTATTAAAAAAGGGTTGATTATTTTAAGTACTGAAGCTTTTAGAGCCTTTCATTGTTACTACTATTGTCTACATTTTAATTAAGCCTATTTCTTTATAATTGATCTTTGAAAATACAAAGTGTATTTGATTTAAAGGTCTTTGGATATAGAAAAAAGAAACCCACTCAGATTAACTCAAATATAAAAGTGGCATTAGGGACGGTGGCTGGTTGGCATGAAATACAGTGAGTATTATATGAAATGGTTGAGAGATATCACATACCCAATGACAGAAAATAATTGCAACTGGAACTCAAAGGAATTAAAGCTGAAAGCTGAGAAAATCTTTGCATCTCAGGAAAGTCTGGTCTCTCCCATCCCAGCTTCTCTAAAACATCTACTCATTCCTCTCTCTCTCTTGCAGAACCAGTTTTTTTTTTTTTTAATGCATCCTATTTGCCATGGTCTCCAAATGACTATTCCATCTGCCAAAGTTACCTCAAAGCCTTAGGGCCAACCACCAATCAATTCAGCCTCTAGGCTCCTTAATTTCAAACATCCCTGAGAAAAGAAAACAATAGGGCAACATGACCTTCTTCAATGAGGTTATGTAATCTGTATGTCACAAAGAAGTCTTTCCCTCAGCCAGTCAGCTGTGACCAAGAGTGGAGCAGGATTATGTAGAATGAAGAAATTGGAAAAATTCCCTTAAAAGAGGATGTGGCTGGAACTTGGAAAGATGATGTCTCACTATGGAAAATAACTGAACTGGAATCCTCCTAGGCAAACTGTAAATGTCTTAATGTAGACTTAATTTTGATTCAGTGCCTACCATGTGCCAAACATATAATTCTCTGAGTTATCATATTATCACA